TGGCAACAATTCAAGTAAAGCGTTGTACTCACCAGTACCTGCCCAAGTCTCCGTCAGACACAGGAAATCCAAGTCATTGGAAAGGAAATACTCCCTCAGAATATGGGTCTTGTTTGTCAACGACCGGGCGTTTAACAACGCGATCCTTGTGGGAGTAGCAACGGGAGGGATTGCCTCTCCCGATTAATATCTGTATTTATATTGCACTTAATTGAACGGTGTTTGTTTTCTTTTCTTCTTTCTTCTTTCTCCCCCATTATCTTGCTGCTGTAAACTGTAAATGTTTGAAAAGCGATTTGTTCGAAATCCGAAACTATTTCATAGTTTTATATATATATATTTATTTATTATTTTTTTTTTTTGAAGGGGTGAAATAATTTGAATTTATGTGCTTTTTTTAATGATATTAACTTTTCACTGTTTTTGAACTTTGCCATGAATTTCACAAAGGGCTGTTTTTAACCACTATAATCAAATCAAACCAATGCACTTAAAATTTTCCTCATTGGTCGGTCATTCTTCATTCGTGTCCGGGCCCCTGCCGCCTCCCGGCTAACAATCTGCCGCACACCTACGCACTCAAAACACTTTATCGTTGTCGTGACTGGAGCTGCGCGTCGCGCACACCCTTTTCGGTTGGACCCTTTTTCACAACGGTTCTGCATTGAAATTTAGCACCAATGTTTACTAATCTGAATGATTCCGAGAGAACTGTAATGTTAATTCTCCATTATGGATGCCCTACTGTCAACTGTACGTACAGTATTCTCCAATTTCTGTGTCCTCCATGAAAGCAGACTGTTTATCTTTGTGTTTCTCAAAAGAAGGCACTTCCAAACGCCTGCCAAACGTTTACTTTTTTCTTCTGTTTTCTGACAAACTAAACCAGTCCCTGAATCATCATCAAGGTATGCTTGTGCACTTTCTGCACTGCCATTTTGAAATAATTTTGAATCCAAGGATGCAAATTTCTTTAAAATTGGATTTGTTGGTTTATCGATTGACAGATTAATTGATTATTAAAACAATCAATAGATGCAGCCATAAAAGGTATTCATTCAAAGGGAGGCTTCGTAATTCGTTACTCTTTCAGATAACAAAATTGGAACGTTTCCATGGGATATTAATAGGAATTTAATGAATTAATTGACTTTTTAAATGACCAAACTCTATTTTGTACATCCATCCATCCATCCATGCATTTTCCAATCCGCTGATCCTCACAAGGGTCGCGGGGAGTCCTGGAACCCATCCCAGCCATCTTCGAGCAGTAGGCGGGGGAATACCTGAACCGGTTGCCAGCCAGTCGCAGGGCACACACAGACGAACAACCATCCGCGCTCACACTCAGACCCAGGGACAATTTGGAGTGATCCATGAACCTGCCATGCATGTTTTTGGAATGTGGGAGGAAACCGGAGTACCAGGAGAACACCCACACAGGCCATGGGGAGAACATGCAAACTCCACACAGGGAGAACAGAGCTGAAATTGAACCCAATACCTCTGCACTGTGAGGTCGAGGCGCTAACCACTGGACCACCCACCGGGCCACTCTATTTTGCACCTGTAGTACAAAATAAAGAATTGCAAAATCCATCCATCCATTTTCAACACCAGGTCGCGTGAAGATGCTGGAGACTATTCCAGATGACTTTGGGCACAGGCGGACTACACCCTGAACTGGTCGCCAGTCTGTCACAGGGCACATATAGAGATGCACAACCATTCACACTGTGCCTGAGTGGGAACTGATCCCCCTGCACACAAGTGAGCCAAGTGTACCACTACACCATCAACGACTCTGAATTGTAACATCTGCAGGACATAAATATACCATCCTTAAACCGCATTGACTGCCATTCTAAAAAGTAGTATGCAAAAGTTAAGAACTTATTTAGATCCTACTTCTTCACCATTATTTCAGATATACTGTATTAGTCACCAAGAAGTACACAGGAATTATCGGGAATAAACTGGGATTGCACAAAATTGAAGGTTGGCTCTTAATAGGGAACTTAAATGATATTAAACTTGATATTTTCTAAAAAAAACAACTCGGGATGGGAGATAGGCATGAGCAAAATTTATTCTATTTCTCTCTCCCGGCAGGATGACTCATCGGTGAGCAGCGAGGACATGAACGGCACTGAGCCCGCATGGGCGGCAGCTGAGCAGCCGCCAGCGCCTGAGCCTGGTCGTCCGAATGGAGCGAGGCTCAGCAACCTCGCAGCTGCCGTCAAAGAAGATGACGGTGAGGCTGCTGGCATGCTAACTTCCCGCTTGCCCTTCTTTCAACCGTGCAAGTTGAAATTCAAGTTGAATTTATTCCATGATCACATTCATAAGCCAGAAAATTTGTGTCTCTCTGATCATATTTTCACCCTACAAAGTAAAATGATTGGAAATGCCATTACTCTGTTCTAACTTTGCTCAAAACATCAACGAAAAGTTTTGCTTGTTTGACAGATTTGGGCAAAATTGTACAAATCCTCAGAATTTCATCATCTCAACATGAAATATTCTCAAATTTCTCCTGTCCACCATGAAAGCAAATTGATTGTCTTTGTGTTCCTAAAACATTTGCAAGACTTTGGAAAACATGGATCAACATATTTGCCACATTTCTGACAGATATTAAGGACCAAACACAGGAAGTGAATCACAATCAATTTGTGCACTGTCAATTTGAAAAAAAAAGTCCTGTTTTTGAATAAAGAAATTGAAATTAAAGCATATTTGCTTCCAATTCATCAAAAAAAAACAATCAACAGATTAATTGATTATTAAAATACCATCTCGGAAATGTATATCTTATTGTTGCTCATAAATCAAAGCAACAAAAAAAAAAATAGGCCAAACGACAGCTCACATCTGGAAAAATTCGTACGTCAGGTCATTCGAGGCACTACTGTACTCACTGGCAGAAGGGACTCATCATACATGAACATGCTTGATGTTGGATGTGGCAAACAGCTTGGCTTGTTCTTAGTGGTCTAATCCAAATCGGTAAATCCACTCCTGCAGTGGGTGGGCCGCCAGCCCAGCCCCAATGTCAAGCACCCCTCCCTTTCTCTCTGGGTTCGAGACTTAGGAAAGTAGGACAAAGGAGGCTGTTCTGAACCCTCATACCACGCACACATCGGAAATTGGGACAAGTCATTCAACTCAACCAAACACATGACACGAGAGGGCAGGAAGCGCGAAGCACTGGAGAACCACATCCTTGCATATTTGAACCACATATATAAAAAAACATAAGTCATATTTGACTATTCACAACATCTCAATTGCCACGTTATTTAATTACAGGAGATAAATAGATTTTAGTTAACCAATTTTGGGGGGGAAATGGCTAAATGATGTTACAAAAAAAAAGCATGACAAACTGAGTAGAAAATAATGGCTTTGTTTCAGTTTTTAATACGGTTGCATTGCTTTTATCTTTTTTTTAACCTGTCCCATAACCTACTGTGAATATAAAAAGTCTACACCCCCTTGTTCAAATACCAGGTCTTTGTGATGTAAAAAAAAAAAAAAAAAAGTTTCACAAAACCTGTACCACTCAATTGATCCCCCTCCCCACAAAAAATATGAACTAATGTGGTTGCAGAAGTGTGCACACCCTAGTAGCTGGTGACACGACTGTGTGCAGAATTCACTCACCACATTCAAACTCATGTTAAATGAGAATCAGCACATACCTGCCATCATTTAAAGTGGTTCTGTTTAACCCCAAATATAGTTCTCATGTAGTAGTAGTCTTTTCCTGACAAAGTTCATCCTTTGTCTCATCAGACCAAAACACAGTTTGCCTCATGTGTTTGAGAGATTTTCCTGTCAGTCACATGGTCTGAAAAGTGTTTAAATGATTTATCTTGGACTCAGTTTTTTTTTTTTAAATAAAAACCTTGCATTTGAACAGAGGTGTGCAGACTTTTTATATCCACTGTAGTTATCCCATCTTCTGTGAACTTGTCATATCAAGGCAAGACTAGTCAAGTCAAATTTATGATATGAATGTGTGATTTTTTTCTTTCTTTTTTTTTTTTTTTTTTTTTTTATGATATCCCCTGATCTTGGAAAGTGCAAATGAATTACCCACACCAAATTTGTCTGAATGCGAATGTTCCCCTTCTTCCCCTCCCAGCAGACGATGACTCCTCGGAGAGCAGTAGTGGCAATGGGGTGACACTGTCCGAGGTGCAGCCCGCGGGCGGGAACCCCCCGGAGGGTGGTGCCTCATATGGGGAGGTGCCCGAGAACGGCTTGAGCGCTCCTCTGGACTTCAGCACCGCCTTGTCCTCATCCTCTTCGGATGACCAACAGCCGGTCAACCTGAGTGACCGATTGCTGCCCGCCGGCTGTTCGCCGCCAAACTCGATCCTGGCAGACCCGAACAGGAAGTACCCCATCAAAACAGAATATGCTAAGGTAAACATTCCCAAAGCCTTGATACTTACTTAAGAGGTGTGCAAAACCCTTTATTAATTTTTAAAAAAAATAAAAACACCCAAAACGTATTTTTACGTTTTGCCATTAAATGAGTTAAAAAGACCTGTAAATTTACAGTAATCTAGCCTCCTGAAAATAAAAGGATGAGCAATTTCTGTGGCTTGTTGAGACAGAAAATCCTTAATGCAAACGATGATTTTTAGGTGGAAATAGGCAGATTAGGAATAGCTTTTAAATGGTTGTTAAAATAGTCAATAAATACACCAAGAATTTCAATGACATAGTGTTAAGGTGAGCGCTGATCTTGGCCCTTTCATTTTTGGGACCAAAAACAGTCACTTCTGTCTTTTCTGGATTGAGCAAGAGAAAATTCTGGTCCATCCACTCATTGATTTGATGAATACACTTTGGGACTTTAGTCATGTGATGATGCTAAAATTTAAGTTGCGTGTCATCTGCATAAGTAAGTATAAAATAAGATAAGAAAGATAAGAAAACCTTTATTAGTCTTGCAATGGAGAAATTCCCAATTCACAGCAGCAAACTTATGTAAGGAAGAAGCGATATGATAAGAAATGTTGTAATGCTCCATAATCTGAGCAAGAAGGAGCATGTAGATATTAAATAGAAGTGGTCTAAGAATGGACCCTTGTGGAACCCCACATGTGATCTTTGTTCGCTCAGACTCTTGACTAACAAATGAGACAAAGTAGTCTCTCTCCTGCAGGTAAGATTTGAACCAATTTAACACAGCGTCAGTAAATCTCACCCACTGTTCTCATTTCTCAAGCAGTATATTATGATCAGCTGTGTCAAATGCCGCATTGTGGACTAGCAATACAGAGTCGTGGTTTAGAAGTGGGCATGGGGATAAAAGGGTAATGGAAGGTGACACCCAGGCACACTGTTTAGCAGCTCAGCTGTTTCAAGGCTAGCACATCCGCAGTGCACCTGGGTCATCACGGGGAGGAGGGGAGAGTGGGAAAGCAAACAAAGGTGGTGAAAAGCTGGGGATGTGTATACATTGTGTGGAGTCGTGAATTGTGTCAACGTCAAGTCTGTTTGACCCAGCCAGCACGCCAAAACATATCGTGTCATTGCCATGGAGACAGCCTTGTCTGCAGAAACAGAAACATAGAGCCTAAGAGAATGGGGAAGTTGAAGGATAAGCGTCCGTCAGCATCACTTCCAAGGGAAAGTACAACACTTCATGAATGTCAGACAGGCTTAATACATTTTGAAAACATCTGTAGTTCATAGTGTGATATAGACAATTATTATGAGGCTGCGTATGGACCAAGTAAAAATCAAGCGCGATCTTACTACAGTGTTTATGCATGGAAAATGGACAGTATGTTTGCGATCATGCCACTTGACGTGCTCACGTGTGTGTCAGCAGTCACCTCCGTACAGCTCAGGAAGCTACGACTCCGTGAAGACCGAACTGAGTGCGTGCGCTGAGGATTTGAGCTCTGGCCGCGCACAGATCATGGACGAAGACGACGACGATCACGATGACCACGACGACAGCGATAAGATCAATGACGCCGAGGGGATGGACCCCGAGAGACTTAAAGCCTTCAACGTAAGTAACCTGCCTGATCTCACCAAATTTTGAATTCCAGTACAAGCGCTTCAGCAAATAGTTGACAAATATACAGTGGTTTTCTTAACATACAAGATTAATTTGGCGGCTGTGCTCGGATCTCAAAAGACTTGTATCTCGGGTTGTACCTAAGGATTATGTTAATTGCTGATTATTTTTTCCGATTAATCAATGAATTTGATTTGAAAAAAAACAAACTTTTTCTCATGTCCATCGCTTGATTGACAAACAGGACACTATTTGAAATTGACGGTGCAGAAAATGCACAACCATAAATTGATGCTGATTCCGTTACCTGTTTGGTGCATAACGCGCCAGAAAATCAGCAAATAGGTTCATTGTTCGGTTCTACAGTAAAAGCAGATGTTTGCAAATGTGTTATTTGATTAAACACAAAGACAATCAGTTTGCTTCCATAGAGGACTGGAGGAATCAAAGAATATTTACTGCAGAGAGGCTTTAATGCTGAGGACATGGACAATTTCAAGTTAAACAGGTCTCTGAACGATTCAAGGATCATCATTGATTGATATGATAATCAATTACATAACAATTTTTTTTGTGAAGGCTGCAGTGGATTCATGGGTTTTCCATTCATTTTAATGAAAAAAGGTGATTTGAGTTATGAGTGTTGTTGCAGAATTAATTATACTCACATCTCAAGGGACCAGTGTAAAACAACAAGAATATCCCGAGAAAAACACTAAGATTTGCCTTAGGGAAGTCCGCTTAGCGTAATCCTAACAAGCAATGAAAAATGGCTTCGACGTGCGAACAAAAATCGATATTATGGTGATATAACCCTTAAGGCAATTATTTAAAGACAAATGGTGCAGCATCACATGTAAACAGACAACATAACAATACTCACAGGCATTTTGTCTTTATCCTCCTGTGTAAAACAATTCATATTGGTGCATCTTACTGAGGAGTTGTGACCATCTCCATCGTAATCTGACTGTTAAAAAAAAAAAGTGTGATGCACGCATATTGTCTTTCTCGTGATACAGCAGTTTAATTTGTCTGTGTGTGTGTGTGTGTGTGTGTGTGTGTGTGTGTGTGTGTGTGTGTGTGTGTGTGTGTGTGTTTCCACAACCTCCCCCTCCCTCTTGATCCTTGCCTCTTCCACTCCCCGCCGTACGCTTGCCCCTCCCCTCACTGCCTTTCCTCGCTTTTGTTTTCAACTCCGCACCACTCTCGCCGCCATCCCCCCACTACTTCTGACTCCATTTTTTCTGCTCTACATCCCGTCCCTCCCTTCCCCCTCTCTCAGATGTTTGTGCGTCTGTTCGTGGATGAGAATCTGGACCGCATGGTGCCCATCTCCAAACAGCCCAAGGAGAAGATACAGGCCATCATGGAATCGTGCAGTCGCCAGTTCCCCGAGTTCCAGGAGCGTTCCCGCAAGCGCATTCGCACCTACCTCAAATCTTGTCGTCGCATGAAAAAAAGTGGTTTTGAGGTATTAATATCCACCTTTTCATCATCGCTCCATCACAAGTACTGGTAAAAGCGCAAGGGCGCTCATAGTAAAGCAACACTTAGGCCTGGTACACACATAAAGACAATGGAGCTGTTTTTGTCCCAGTTTTGCCCCTTCCCAACCAACAACAACAAAAGCTTGACTTCTTCAGAAAATTATCCTCTAAGATTATCCTGTGGTGTACCGTTAGACAGTTTTTGCCTCTCTCTCTCTCTCTCTCTCTCTCTCTCTCTCTCTCTTTCTCTATAAAAAAAATAATAT